TGATAGTGGTAGTGTCATCAAAATATTAAAATGTTAATTTATTAAATGGGTACAAATGAGTATAAAATATTAATATGACTATTGCGTAGTTTACAAAATATGGTTGATTTCCTCACTCCATACAATATTTCCGATACTTGGTACGAGTTAATATTACAGTACTTAAATTACTTGCTTCATCTCCTTTTGAAAACCCCTTCGGTTAGTATTCGAATCGTGACGAATAATCGCCATATTTTTAGTAAACACAACCAAAATTTGTATATTTAAATTTGTAAATTGTAAATATTAAGCTACCATGCTATTATTATGAATTAGTTAACTGTTGCAGTTTGTTTGTTTATAGGTTTATTATGATCAAACTTGGAAAATTAATTATTTTATACTAAGTTATTGATATTTTACTAAAAAAACACACTATAATAACCTACCTGTAGCAGCAAACCTAGATACCTGTTGAATCTGATTTTATTTAAATACAATTAATAAGTTAAAACATCTAATCAAAAGGAAATTTGCTGAGTCTGCAGGTTTGCTGTGGCGGGGTTGTTTTACTCATAAAATAAGCTTAAATTTTTAGATTTTATAGTATCACACTATTTAACTAAATAGGATAAATTATCATAATCCTTGAAAGTAACGGTCAATTTCCATGTGTTTCGCCTATTTTTGACAAAAATAAAAAACTAAATATACTTAATAACAAATAACTCAAAAGCCGTTGGGTTTAGAGAAAGATGGTAAATACAAAAAATGTGTATTTTTAGATGACCTACATTTTGTATATTTAGCTTTTTCCTGTATCTCTAATAATAAAGTCACTATAGCGAAAAATACAGAAATATGCCGCCATTTTCCAATATGGCGGCCGTAGCACAGCTTCAATTTTAAGGGACTTTTAGTATGTTCAAAAGGAAGGTACACCCAACATCTGTACCAAATTCCCCGGTTGTGCTAATTTTTTTTAGGTTTATGGAATTTTTCTCTTATTTTTACTGCACTATAGGCCTACCAATGATACATTAACACTTTAACCTAGGCTACAAAAGGCCTAGGTTGTACACTTAACAACATTGCTTTTGAATGTAAATCCAATGTAAATAAAATTTTTAGCGATTAAGTGTGTTAAGTTGTGACTGTTTGTTGCCAAATAACTTAGGTTTATCACTTTAACTTATCAATTATCAATTATCAATTATTTAAGATGGGGACGCCACTATGTGCGTATTTTAACCCAAATATGAGTGAAGGATGAGTGTAGGATGAGTGGCGCGATCTTGTAGTCTTGTTAGTGACTAAGGCCGACATGTTCCTTAGACACAGCTGTTAATTAATAGCCCATAACTTACAGCTAATGGCAACTAAGGGACCTACAGTTTATTGTGGAATCCGAACCACATTTTTTCCTCGTAATTAACGAATTGGTCTAATTATTTAGGATAGTACTGCGGATAGTCGTAGTACTCACTAGTGCGGACGTTAATCCACACCAGGTAGCATCGCATCCACAGTGCATCCCTATAATTATCCACAATTCGTGACCTCCTAGTAGCTGGATTACAGGACGACGCCACCCGTCCCAGTCCTTATTAGTTAGGTGTAGGCCTACATACCCGGCTTTGTTTCATTATTATATAGCCTGACTTATAAACCGATCAAATATATTAACATATTATTAAAACCTAGCGAAGTTACAGCTACAGCATTATCTTAAATTTTAAGCTTTATTTGATTTGTATCATTGTATCTGCCAGCCTACGAACTGGACCTTAGCCTGAGTAGTTCATGCCGTTCATGGAATTTCCTAAAACGTTGTTTTATTTAACTAACTTAGGCTACTTCTGTAATATTTCAATAATTGACTTACCTCATCATTATCTACAGACAATTTTCCACTTCCTGTTCACACAATAAACAACACTCACTGAGTGAGAACTAAAATGATAACTTATGTAAATTAAAAAATTAGGTAAACAAAAACAAACACCCCGGCTTCTGTCAGGATCGGATAGAAAAAAATGGCGAATGGCGGCGTCGGCGTCGCCCTTCTCTAATGTTTCACTCCACTACTCCCAGCAGTCCCAGAGCTCACCGGTTGAAAGCCCGATGCATTGTGGGATTGAGTTTTCAATTCCTTTAAGGTATTCTACACATATTCATTAGGTATCCTCAATCTAGGTATCATATAGGTATCCATAATAGGTATCAAGTAGGTCAACGAGACTTTCGTGCTATATGGGGTGGTCCGTCCTCACCTTGAAATGTCTTCCACTGAGGTATTGTCTAAACTTCTTCACGGCAAAAACTAACGCCAGTGCTTCCTTGTCAACTGTAGCATACCTTTTTTCTGCTTCCGTTAGTGTCCTCGAGGCGTACATGACTGGCCTTTCCGTTCCATCCGGCATCAAATGTAACAGCACTGAACCCACCCCTTGTTCACTAGCATCACATTCAACAATGATCGTCTTTGATATGTCGTATGGGACTAATGTCTTCTCTAATGACAGGATATTCTTCAACTTTTCGAACGTAGTTTGTTCGGTGTCAGTCCATTTCCATTTAGTCTTCGTACCAGTCAGCTTATGCAAGCTCGAAGCGATCGCATGAAGATTAGGTATGTACCTTTCATAAAAATTTAGTGCCCCTAGAAAAGCTCGTAATTCTTTCACGTTTCTTGGCCTTGGTGCGTGTCTTATGGTTTCAACTTTGTCTTCGGAGGGATGAATACCATTCCCATCTATTGTATGACCTAAATACTTTACAGACTTCTGAAAGAACTTACATTTTGACAGTTTTGCTCTTATTCCACTTGATTCTAGCCGCCTCAAAACTTCTCTAAGAGTGGTTATATGGGTGGTCGTATCCTTACTAGAAATGATTATATCATCAAGTAGAACTCCAACATTAAGTCCTTTTAGCAAACTTTCCATGTACCTTTGAAATTTTGCTGGACTTGAGGAAAGACCAAAAGGCAACCTTTTGTAGCGAAAGTAACCTACATGAGTTGCTATTGTAAGATACTTTTGTGACTCAGGGTGTACTTTCATTTGCAAGTACGCGTCTCGAAGATCTATGACTGAAAATATCTTTCCATCAGTTAATTTGGAAGTCAAGTCATCAAAGGTCGGCAAGAGGTGTCTCTCCGGAACTATGTTTGGATTCAAGGTTGTACGAAAATCGCCACAGATTCTGACTCTACCTCCACCCTTGTCTACGTTGACAGTTGGGGTACTCCATTCTATCGGTGTTTCGGAAGGATCCACTGCTTCCAAAACTCCTTCCTGTACTAATCGCCGTAATTCTCTCTCCACTGCCTCCCTTAAGGGGAATGGAACTCGTCGTGCCCCGTAAGATACAGGTTTTTTTCCACTTTTTAGATGGATAACTTCATTAGAGTCAGATATCGTTCCTAGCTCATCACGAAAGAGTTCAGAAAACTCCTGAGTTAATGTCACAACTTCTTTTTGTAACTCTTTTCTACAACTTTCTTCATTCTTGCCTGTCTCTTTACTATTTGTCTTTCCATTATCAATACGCCTAACCCTTACTTCCCTAGGCAAACTAAGATTGAAAGCTACACTCCACGGCAACCCAAACAATGGAACATCATCTTCTAGTAATACAATAACTGGCAATCGCTTAGTACGATTACGTAAAGTAACGTCCACAAAAGCCTTACCCATGACTTCTAGCTTATTTTTCCCATAGCCAGTGATTACATCAGACGTCTTTTTTAGAGATTCACCACTTGAATTGATCTTATCCCAAAGAGACAAACTTACAGCACTTACCCGAGCTCCTGAATCAAACTCCATTCTAACATTATACCCGTTCAATTCTACATCTATCGTAGCTCTGGGAACCTTACTCTTGACAGACCTAATTTGTGTTCCGCTAACATCAATATCAGAACTACACTCATCATCGTAAGTTTGATCACAAGAATCATCTACTTTTCTCAAATTACCATCTGTTCTCTTGAAAAAATTATGTTTACTTTTGCACATTCTTGCGAAGTGGCCTCTCCTTGAACATTTCTTGCACACAGCAGAAATAGCAGGACACCTATCTTCACTAGGGTCATGTGTAAACCCACATCTATAACACCTATTGAAGCCAATAGATTTCTGTACCTCTGGTTTCCTCTTTTCCTTACTGTCACTTACTTTAAGAATCTCATTTTTACACGAATGTTTGGAAACTTCTTCTCTCGCTCGTTCCATAGATTGAGCTAACTCTAGTACTACTGTTGACTTAACACGCTCACCTCGGTTATTAACTCCCTCGGGCCATCTTTGTCTGACTTCGACTTCAAATTCTGGACAGTTGCTTCCTACTGCAAACCTATCTCGTACTCGTTCATCTAAGCTATCTCCATATTTACAACTTCTAGCTAAAGACTTCAATCTGTTATAAAACAAAATAAATGTCTCACCATCTTTTCTTATTGCTCTTTCGAACTCAAACCTTGTTGCAAAAAGGGTCCTTGTAGGCTTGAACAACCGGTTGGCTTCCTCTTTGACTTCGTCGTAGGTGCACTCCTCCCAGGCCCTTGGATACATCTGGTCCGACAGTGCCCTGAGGTGCTCCTCTCCGATATTTGCCAATAGAAGATCTCGCCGAGCCGCTTGTTCTTCTGTGTTAGCACCACCCAGTCCCTTAACTCTGCAGGTCAACTCAAAACGAGCTATGTAGTCTTCCCACAATTGTTCACTATTATACTCTTTAAATGAAAATCTGCTCATTCTATCTTGTATGCAAGACATGTTACTACAGTCAATTACACTCCTATACTGAGACTGGTCTGTTTTCCTCGGCATTTTCTCGTCGCCAATATAGAATAATTAATTATTAAAACTCATTTTAAGTAAACTCAACCAAAAACTATTTATTTACAAAAACTAAACAAATAATGTAAACAAACCAAAATGCAGATGATTCATACTTCATAACTCAGCTGGTAACAATAATCCTACACATTCAAAATTCTCATTCTGTAGGCATGTACCTGATCTCCCGATACGTCAAGACACAGACAGACACGACAGTGGTGATGAGTGGGGAGGGGGCAGACGAGCTGGCGCAAGGATACATCTACTTTAGAGACGCGCCCAGTGCTGAGGAGGGACATCGTGAGAGTCTACGCCTGCTGCATGACATACACAAGTATGACGGATTGCGAGCTGACCGGACTACCTCAGCACACAGGTTAGTAGGGTTGTTGCAATGTAAGTTAATTAAGGACACTTAAGTTTACTGTTCGGACTTGTATTAATTTTAGCTAACGTATAATGCCAATGGTATAGATACAAGATAAACAATGTAGCAGAACAATGTTTTGTTGATTTGTTTGTATATGTTCAGTCTAGAACTGCGAGTCCCGTTCCTAGACCTGCAGTTTACACAGTACTACCTGAGTCTTCCCGGTGAACTGAGACAGCCGCAGAAAGGCGTAGAGAAACATCTGTTGCGTAGTGCCTTCAACAACACAGGGCTGCTCCCGGACAACATCCTGTGGAGGCACAAGGAGGCTTTCAGGTCAGTCTCAACATTAGATTACATTTAGATGACACCGACACACTTTGGAGGATAGATTTTGATAGACACAGCGATTTTAAATTGTGACATTAAAAATTTACACTGAAGGTCTGAAACTCTTGGTATGTTGACCCTACTACCATCAACTTCACGTTTAGTTGCAAAATCTTTTTTTTATGTAAGTTTCATGTTTAACTAATTATATGACGTGGCACAGTAAACCTCACCAACAGTCTATCTTGACATAAGGCTTAGCATATACTTTATTTATATACGTTCAATTTGTCTTTGAAGTATGTTTGAACATAAATTCTGTATTTGCTGTATTGCAAATGAGATCATTGCTTGGCTTTTTGATCTAACGCTTTCTCTGGCTCCTCTAATTATCCAACCTTTTTCATCTCTTGACCATGGTTTGGTTTCTTACCCAACAAGTGGGTGGTTCTATTGTATAGGCTAGAGATTTTGTCTGAGGTGCCAGTAACTCGATTTATCCTAAGCACAATTTGTTTGTCTTTTGTTTGAACATAGGTATTTATTTAGTATACTTAAAACTTTTACAGAAAAATTTAGAAACTGTAAAATGTAGTTTACGATTGTTTCTGTCTGCAGTGATGGTGTTGCTAGTATCAAAAAGTCGCTGTTCCAAGTCATTCAAGAGTTGGTGGAAGAGAAAGTCTCAGATGAAAGTCTACAGAAGGCCTCAGCCAAATACCCCCACTGCACACCTAAGACAAAAGAGGCTCTTTATTACAGGTTTGTTTTTGGCATTTACTTTTAGATTACGTACACTAACTTATTGACTAATTGGTAATAATTAACATTTTAACTTCACCCACAGTTTAAATTGTGAACTTGTTATCAAATCATAAGGTTTAACAACAGTTTTTCGTTTTCAATATTTAGAGTAAATGAGCATTAAAATTTTTGTTCTATCTAATATATAAAATTCTCGTGTCACAGTGTTTGTCTGCAAACTCCTCCGGAACGACTTCACCGATCGTTATGAAATTTGGTGTGTAAATTCTGTAGGTATGCGAATCGGACGCAAACTATTTCCCGTTTCGAAATTCTTAAAAGGGCTCCGCCCCAGTGGCTCTGGAGTTTCCCATGTTAACCTTATGAGAAATGGAATTAATGAATCTTAACAGCTGTTTCAATTAAACAAGTTGGTTCTGTTCTATGATGTTCAATAGCATTAAAGTTACAAGGATTACCAACAGGGTGCAGCACTATTATTTCTTTTACATTTATGACAACAGCTAATTTGCAACCAAAAGGTGAGTGAGCGTAGCGAACGAACTTCAACCTGGAGGCGAGTTAGCGTAGCGAACGAGCTAACCTGAAGGCAAGTGAGCGCAGCGAACGAGCTCCAACCTAAAGGTGAGTGAGCGTAGCGAACGAGCTCCAACCCAAAGGTGAGTGAGCGTAGCGAACGAACTTCAACCTGGAGGCGAGTTAGTGTGGCGAACGAGCTAACCTGAAGGCAAGTGAGCACAGCGAACGAGCTCCAACCTAAAGGTGAGTGAGCGTAGCGAACGAGCTCCAACCCAAAGGTGAGTGAGCGTAGCGAACGAACTTCAACCAGGACGTGATTGAGCGATGCGAACGAGATCATCTTGAAAATTAAACGTAACGGTACTTTCTTTCCATCGGTCTGTCTTAGGGGAAACCTATAACTTAGGCGATACGAAGTTCGCCGGGTCAGCTAGTATTCCTATATAAATGGCAGTTGTACTAAACATTTAACACTGAGCTTAAGGCGAGTTTACATTAATTCGAGCTCGCATACAAGTACAGCTCGCTTTCCTCCTCGAATAAGTGTCCACCACAAGTCTACTTGCATACTAGCATAGACAAAAAGAATGAAATATAGACTGTCAGCCGTGCTGCGGTTGCCATGGTTACCATAGGTTCCGGCGCACACCGCTGTAGTTTACGTAGCGCGTACGCCGTAACTACCATGGTGCTCCAAGTGGTGTGCGCCAGAACCTATGAAAACCGCAGCACAGCTGACGGTCTATATTTCATTCTTTTTGTCTATGATACTAGCATGTGGAAGTGGAATGCGAGTACAAATGACATTTTGTCGTTTGAGTTACTTTCCAGCATGTTGGGAAATTCTCGCACAGGATGTCTTTGTGAAACCCAGTAATAGTTTGTGAAAACGTAGGTGTGGTAGAAAAGGAATATATCTGTTTGTTTATAGCTTTTGTGTTTACTGTTCAGTGGTACTGTGTAGTGTGCTGTGGCTACTAAGTTTATCGATGATGTATGTTAAATTTCATATTTTTTTTATTTCCACAGACCACCAAAACACCTTCTTCAATAATTTCTATTATACATTTCTACATAGTTCTTGAATAAGTTCACTATTTATACATACCTACTAAACATAAACATATACACAGCGATCACATAAGACCAATGTGATCGCTGATTATGAATACTTATCTTTCACCATACAACTACATCACTCGCGACTGCTACTATTATTCCAGTATCAGCTACAATGCAAACGCTGCTGGAATTCGATCCATCGTTCGACACTGGAATAGTAACTCATTCGCTATTCAAGTTAATGGAATGCGAGCTTGAACTAATGTAAACGTGCCTTTAGAAGTTAGATTCATCAAACAAATAATGTTTGTATGGTTTTAGTTTGTGTTTATATTTTTGTACATTGTTATCTAGAATTTTGGTTTGAATAAGTTCTTTACCATATATCTGTAAGTCAATAAAAATGCTCACCATGTTTCGATTGACTTCTTCTAAATGCAGTCACTTCTCTGCTTTAAATCCTTAGTTAAGCTTCAAAAACCTTAAAAAATGAAGATTTTCCACAATGAGTGAATTTTAAGCTATATTCATTCTATTGAGAGGAAAGGTGCAAATTTTGAAAATTTCAATTGGAACAGCTAGATCAGTCAATTAATTGACTGGGAGACTGAAACAACAGCTTGTTGTTGACGAGCAATAGCGGGTGAGTTAGCTTGACTGCATAACTCAGATAAATCAGCACTAATTTTAGTTAGAAGTGATACTGATTTTTCTTTGTATGATAACTTAACCTGTATTTAAGTATGGCAATCAATTAAAGTTAGTTTTTTGTTTTCAGGGAAGTGTTTGAGAAGCACTATGCGGGCCAGATTGAGTGGCTCATGCCGTACTTCTGGATGCCTAAGTGGACGGATGTCACCGACCCTTCCGCTCGATTCATTAAACATTACGCTGCTGAAGATAAGGCTTGATCTGACAATAAAATATTACTTGTTATTCTGTTTTAGAAAATTACCTTGCCCTTAGTCAATTTATATTTAGCGAATTTACCATTTAGGGAATAAGCTATTACCATTTGTCTCATGGTAAGGCCTCCAAGACCGATTTATTTTGTTTTGATGTCCACAGAAGCCAAAAACACAACCCAATCCAATTGATATAGCCTATATATATATGTATTGTGTGTTCGTTAGCACAATAACTCGAGTAAACATGTATGCCTTTATTCAAACAAGTTTGAAAACCAGATCAGTCTATGGGAACATGGTTTTATGGAGTAAAAACTGGATTTTCCCCATATTTTATCCCAAAATAAAATTTTGCAATTTCTTTCCAAACTGTTTTGTAAAATTTAAAAAAGCAAATAATCTAGTCTTTTGAAGCGTTGTTGTACGCTTAATGGTTCTGGAGAAAATTTTAAAAATGCTAAATTAAAAATCTTCATGTTTTTATCATGAAGAAGAAGAATAAATAAGCTGTTGTAGTGTGATTGTTTAGGCATTAACTTATTCAATTAAAAACGATGTTTGAACTTTTTTTTAGAGTTCTGGGATAGTTAAAAGGGTTTTTAAAATATACAAACACTTTTTCTTTTGTGGAAGAACGTTCAGTTTAGAATGATTTGTTACTACCTCTTCAAATCCTAAAAAATAATTTTGCATTTGTGTTATCATAATAGTTGAAAACATTATTGTAATGAAAAATTTTAAAATTGATTTCCAACAAAACTTAAGTATTGGGTTTAATCTAAATAATCTTTTCTATTAGTTTTCTCAGTTTCTGCATGTAACCTATGTTTTAGACAGGACCGGATACAGTCTTGTCTATAAGAATTAACATCCTGCCTTTTCAACTAGCATAAAAATCAAATCACATAGATTATATTGATAGATGAATTGTGTAAATATAAAGCAAATATCCAATTTAGCTGTGTACATCCGTGCTAGTCAACATACTAGTTTCTGCAATGTACAGTAATAATAATTTTTCCAATGTATCAAAATTTTTTCCATTAAACATTTTACAATATTGAAAACATTTTCATTCACATTTTCGTGCAGAGATATTATGATATTTCGACAAAAGCTGGGAGGGATCCCAGCGGCCACGAGGAAATCTAATTTGGAGACGCTATCAACCAATTACTTCCTTGCGCAGGATATTGGACAACCTTTGTCAGAGCTTCAAAAATCGAGAGTATTGCATCGGAATCATAGTAAAAACATTTAGTATGTTACTGTACTTATGTTAGGATTAAATAAATATAAAGGGGTAAGAGCATTGTCAGACGTTTCAATTACAATCCCATCACAGTTTATCAATAAAGTAAATTTTCCACATTCATTCTCTGCAAATCAATAAATGACTCGGGGGGTTCCATTCAACAATTTGTAATGAATGAGTTGAACATATAATCAATGAAGTAGTTTACTGAATATCAAATCAACTCACAAAGTGGTATTCACTGTCAACCACTTAGGTTAAGATTGAATCAAGGTCTTTTAGCAGCTTCTAACCAACTGAGCAGAAAATTAGGAGTCATGATGGAGATAAGGCATTAATTAGATGGTTGACAGAAGAAGGATCGATAGGTTGGTAGTAGGGATAAGGGAGGGTTATGGGGGGAGAAGAGGGTGGAAAATGGGAGGGGTGGTTGCCCGGGCATGCACTAGAAGCCTGTTGCTCTCTAACACTGCTTCAGGTAAGTCATATTGGACTATAATTTGCAAATTATATAAAACCTCCTTTTTGTCACTACTGTTCACAATATTTGACCCTTAAGAAAATCGTTTTGATAACTTATTTATTTTTGAATAATATAGGCATTGTTTTAATATTTCTTAAAATTATATTGAGTTGTTATGCTTGGAATATTATGATTTATGATTGGTAATAACAAATTATAAGGTTGAGACTTTAAAGAGAATAAATAATGAGATTATAGATAAAAATTATAAATTAATTGTGTAATCAGCGTGGTAAAAAAATGAATAGTTTTAATATGCATTGTCAAAAGTATTATAAAGAAATTAGTTTTTTGGATGTCACTTTAATTTGTATTAGGGTTAGTTTATTAAGTAGTGTTTGAAATACTTTTACAATTTGTCTTAATCTAAAAGTGTGTTATGGTTGTTTTGTTTGTTAGACTGACATACACACACACATATGTGTGTGTATGTGTTCACATATGTTTGCGATATACTCTAACATAAAATGTTCTAAACCTGGTAAAAGCGTTTTCAAACTAATGCAATGAAAGACTTGGAGTGCTCTCACGATTTTGTGGTTTCGAGATTATGAAGGAATGTAATTCAAATGGTCTTCACGAGAGTAATTACGTTTTTTTATGAAAGTTTATCAAGTTTCGTTAACAAAACTGGAACTAGGCCTACATTTGAATTTGGAAAAAACCTTTTAATAACTTAAAATGCATTTAAAAGTCTGTAGTAGAATTAATATTGTCATAATTACCTGTATAAGTTATTTAATATTTTGAATTTGCTTATCAAGTATTTAAACTTAAAAGTATATTATTGCTGTATACGACTATATATTCATCCCTGAAAACATAATAATCTCCTTGATGCTGTAATATAAACCCGAACCCGACATATTCTGCATTAAAAGACTAAATGAATTCAGTACGGACATTGGAAAGTTTGCTTTAGTTTGAACGGTTCTAATTCAATAGGAAATAGGAATGATTTAGGTAAATAAAAATATTAACCAAATCACCCTTCCCCATGCAAACCACACAGCCACAGTCACACTGTCTGGGGTCTTGTCATTTATCAACCCTGTCATTTGCCACAGGTCATTTGGATGTTTCATGGCAGTTGCTGCTAAATAGTTGTGTTTATTTCAAGGCAAAATTTTAAGCTAGCAATTCAATACAGTGTTTACCTCTAGTGAGTTTTAATTTGTTTGGTAAAATAGTTTGAGAACATAAATCATTCGGTTAGTTCACACCGTAGAATGGTATTTTACTAATTCCATTCCAAGGTAAAATGAAATAACAAAGATGGAACAGTAAGACAAGACATAGATAAATGCTAATTTCACAAACTTTTTTCTCTTGAGCTCCTCAGAGCAAAATACATAATTAGTTCCAATTTAATAGTTTTTTACTTGAAAGTAGGGTGCAGGTGTAGACAGCTGAAATGGGTGTGATGCTGAAGTAAATAAAGAAATGAGTTTTTAGGGTTGTGTATCTCAAGGAATTGGCTTTAGTGCTTAGTTTTGGTACAACTGAAAGGTTTTATTTTGTTAAACAATCGCTCTTGCGTTTCTTTTCTTGCTATGCAGTATCGGTTTCTTGTTAAAGAAAAACGAAATTTGCCAAAGCTATAGTGTTAGCAAAACGGGAGTGCCTATGGAGACCAGGTCAAGTCCCTTCAAACGCACGCACCCCCACAGGTCTCAATCGGCACTCCCGTTTTGCTAGCACTATAAATTAACACAACTTAGGTATTGTTGATTTAACCACGCTGCAAGTAAGACCAACAAATTACTGCTGTTAAAGCATGAATTATTTAATTTTATACAAATTTAGCGATCAATCAAACACTGGGTTTGGTTGCTCTGTATACTCTGACTTTACAGAAACAGGCACATAAATACAGACATGACAACCTGTAAGTCCAAGACATTTATGACCAAATAATTTGAATAGTCATTCAGTTTCAAATCATATACCATAAGTGAAAAAATATTCATCAAATAATAAACGGATCAAAAGTCCAAATGGAGTAGTTGCAAAACAGACCTAATTCAAAACCTGCAAAAGAACAAGATACCTTCTTCTAAAGCAGCAATTGGAAAAAATAAGAAGAGCTTATGTCTACGAATTTTTACCTGTGAGAAATGTTATGTATTACATTCTTCTAATAAACCTTCAATAATTCCATCTTCAGACTAGGACAAAAATCATAACTTAGTGTTTGTCAATGATAAATTCTTCTAATATGAGTACAAAATAGTTTGACTTTTTAATACTTTGTGAAGAGCATGAGGTCACGGTTTACAGTAGATAGAAAACAATGCTTCCACTCCTCTGATCCTGGCAACTCCACATAGCAATCATCTTTCTTCTTCCTATACCAATGTCTGATGTTCTGTATCTGTCTTTCCTCAAAGTTCCCACAACCATTGTTAAACATATTGCTTCACTTTCCAGTTTTAGTGTAGCAGTGTGTCTGGTAAGGCGAAATTAGTCCTTTATTGTAAAATGGCCACAATACGAATGTAGGTATTTTAAGCCAAGTATATAAGTGCTGCCCAACCTAACTCGGCTAACCCCATCAACACCTCTATGATAAAACCAGCTATTCGTATAGTTTAAAAATAATACTACATTGGTTGCCACTAAGTAAAGCAGGTATTACAACTCAAGTTAGTACACTAAGTGTACAGGTACCCTATTTATAAAAAGTCTTTATTTATTCTTCAATAATTTGTGTGTGCATTTCGAGTTTTTAACTCCTCTAATATTTTTAGGGACCGGTCAAAGTCAAACCTTGTTCTTTTCACTTTGAATCTAGACATTTAGTTAGAAAACATTATTAACTAATAAGCCCAATGACAAAATGACATCTGGGGATTGAATGGGTGCAGAAAGAAAGAATACTGTGTTTAATTGTGAGCATTGTCTTATAGAAAAGGTGAATCATGTTCAAGCTTTCTTTTTTACTTAGAAAATAAGACCATAAGACTTACATCTACAGGAAGAGCATGTAGGTATTCACTTACTTAATTTAAAACTATCAATCTGTTATGCAAAGACAAAACTAAAGTTTGTTTTTATGGATCCGTTTTTAAGATTTTATAAAAATATCATATTTTAGACATTTATTGTTGTAATCAAGTAAAACAATCTGAGAATATCACTCACCGACAAAATGTTGAATCATGAGAAACAAAAGGAAGGAGAGGTATAAAGCGTAGCTGTTCACGTTGAATGGTTTTATCCAGCTTAATGACTCAGTGATAATATCCTG